TATATGTCCTTAAGGAAACCATGAGGGGATGACCATGAAGGGGATGGAGTACACCGGTGAACACATTGTTTACAAACACCTAGAGGTTACGAGCCTAGTAGTGTTTCACTGGACTGCCTAGAAAGGTCTGTGGTCGTCATCTATACTCCACTAGATGACTGGAACATCGACAACTTCGAGGGCTCTCATCATTTTATGTCATCACACATCAACTATTTCATCTACCCATGTTATTCCCAACATATTTGTAGATAAAAATACATACACGGTTTAAATCATTCTAAACATGTATAAAACATTCATTCAACATCCATCTCAAATAAACAAATAATATATATACACATAGCACATATTTTATATAAAATACTTTATATCTATGTGTATGATGAAAGTGAATATACACTCACTTGATAAGATGGTGATTGGACAGCACTTCGTTCCTTAAAACAATCTTTTTCGATGAAACCGGGAGGTTTGCTCAAAAACCGGGCTTTACGCGGGCAGAGTTTTGACTCGAGGATACGGGCTCCGTTTTTTACGTTCTTTATATCCACGTGTAGGTAAGACCGTGTTTTACAACTTTCGTTAGACTTCGTCGACTAATTTTGACTTTATTTTAAAAGTTATATTTTTAACAGGCCGGGATAAGAAATGTCCGTTAAAATTTCATAACTTCTTTATAGATAAAAATACATATACAGTTTAAATCATTCTAAACATGTATAAAACATTCATTTCAACATCCATCTCAAATAAACAAATAATATATATACACATAGCACATATTTTATATAAAATACTTCATATCTATGTTTAAGATGAAAGTGACTATACACTCACTTGATAAGATGGTGATTGGACAACACTTCGTTCCTTAAAACAATCTTTTTCGATGAAACCGGGAGGTTTGCTCAAAAACCGGGCTTTACACGGGCAGAGTTTCGACTCGAAAAACTCTTTTTCTTGGAGACTTCGGGCTCTCCGAGGCTTTCTTCTAGTGCTAGGAAGGTACCCTAGGCTTCGGGGGGTTTAGTATAGCTTAAAAGATAGTATAAGGGTGAAAGAGATTTGAAATTAGCAAAAGAAATCGGGCAGTCTCACATCCCTTTTATAGGTGGTCGAAGCCCCTCATTAAGTTGGGCGTAACTTTTTGGTACGCGGGGCGTACTACTTTGTTCAGCTCTTCGCTGGGCGTACTCTCGTACGCTGGGCGTAGGGGGAACGTGGTGCCTGATCGGATTCCGAGCTTCGGACTCATGCAAGCTACACATACGTGTTCACCATCCGAAGGAGTAGGGGGCGTCGCCGACTTCAGACCATGTACACGAGTATTCTACATCAAGGGGTAAGACCCTTGGTTAAGGAGTAGGGGGCGTCGCCGACTTCGGACCATCTACATCAAGGGGTAAGACCCTTGGTTAAAGAAAATGGTGATGGCGTCAGAGGTTTAACTATATGGGTTGACATGGCAGTCTGACTGGCTAAAAGCATAAGCAGTTTCCAGTTTGATTGGCTAAAGTTGTGCTTTGGAAGTGAGATGTCCCGAGTTCGAACCCCTTTCCCCTCATTTTTCTAGAAAATCCGATTTTTAATGGTTTAACCATATAGGCTGACATGGCAGGCCACCTAAACTGCCACATCAACACCCCTTCCAATTTGGCATGCCACAAAGTCATGTTACCTGCTAAAAATGTCAAAAAGGACTAAATTGAATGAATTATCCGGTTTCTTGGGTTATCTATTAAAAAATGGGATTTTTTTTGTAAATTTTCCCAAAATAATGATACTTTTCTAGAGATTTCAGTAACAAAATTGTTGCATTTGTGTGGTGTGTGTAAGTTACTATTCATTTGCAAGTGCTATTTCTTTTTTTTTTGGAAAACGGCAAATAAATATATAGATTAAAGTAAACCCAACATCAAGTTGGTGTGGGGCAGATAGTACAAAATGGAGAGTATCACAAAAACAAACAGAGAATTTACAAACAATGGAAAGGACAAAGGTTCCACACTCTCCAGTCCACCTTTTTGCATGAAGTTCTATATTTGCACCAAGTAAACATTAGAGCTTTTATCCTTTCAACTATAATCGCCGGTCTCGTGGGGATGTTCTCGAAAACCCATTTATTTCTACAAACCCATATACACCATAGTGTTCCACATAGTATTATATTCAGCAAGCTTTTTTCCTTATTGCACCCAGAATTTCTTGACACAAAAAGTAGCATATCTTTTACCGAACTAAACCTTTCACCATTGATATCGCACCAGTTAAGTATGAGATCCATGACCATCTTCGCCATCGGACACGAAATCAAGATGTGATCGCTCGTCTCCTCTTCTTGATTGCAAGCACCGCACATCGTAGATGGTATGGTAATCCCGCGTTGGCAGAGTGCCACCGCTGAGGGAATTCTTCCATGCTTCGCTCTCCAAATAAATGAAAGAATCTTGAACAGTGTCGCTTTCCCCCAGTCAAAAGGTCCATCATTTACCAAGTGATTTGATAATTCAATTCTCTCCCGTAACAGACATACCCTAAATCGACCTTCTGATGTAAACTCCAATTCCCATCGACCATCGATCGGGTTCTGCGATATTATTTCTTTAGGTTCAATTTTTATTTTTTTCAAAAACAACCTGGTTTTAACTATATTTTTCCAAACACCATTATTGGATCCGTTAGCAAGGACGGACCAGTGTTTACCATCTAGTTTATGGATACACCGGATTACATTCGCCCACAAGGCTGGGCTATCAGTCTTTAGTCGCCACATCCACTTAGCTAATAGCGAGATGTTAAGAGATTTAATTGAGCCAAGCCCGATACCCCCAACACTCCTTGGAGAGATTAGGTTTTCCCACGCCACCCAACAAATGCATTTTTTGTCATACTCTTTACTCCATATAAACTTTCTTCTAATTATTTCCAAAGTGTCAATTACTCCTGTTGGTACTACAAAAATGGACATAAAGAAAGTAGGTAGATTGCCCAGTACAGCCTTTGCAAGGGTTAATCTGCCCCCAAAGCTCAATGATCTCGCTTTCCAGGTCGACATCTTTGCTTGGAATTTGTCGATAATTGGTTCCCATGCTTTCCTACGATTCATATTCTCTCCAACCGGGATTCCGAGATAGGTGAATGGGATGGATGAAGGTTCACATCCGAGAGGGGCTTCCCAATTTATTACTTCAGTGTGGGAGGCCCCCACCCCATATACCTTTGACTTCCTGAAGTTCACCTTTAACCCCGACGATACATAGAAACACCTTAATATCCGGGCTAAGTTTGCAATATTACGCCTCGACCATTCGCCAATAAACAGTGCATCATCTGCGTAGAATAAATGAGACAAACAGAGATTAGATTGTTGAAATTTGATGCCATCAAAAATTCCTTTTTCCACAGCCATCTTCATCGCCTGATTTAATCCTTCCATCGCAATGATGAAAAGAAATGGGGAGAAAGGATCTCCCTGTCTGACACCTTTCGACATAGAGAACTCCTTTGTTGGGCTACCATTAATGATCACCGAAGCTCTACCGGATTCAAGACAACCATTCATCCATAATCTCCATTTCGACCCGAATCCCATTTCCTCCATGATTGAATCCAAAAATGCCCAACTTATCGAGTCAAATGCTTTATTGAAATCCGCTTTAAATAAAAGCATTTTCTTGCCTTTCGCCTTTGCCCATGAGCATAGTTCATTGACTATCAACGGTCCTTCTAAAATGTTTCTACCCTCCACGTATGCGGATTGGACCTCATCAATGATGCTACCAATAACTCTTTTCAATCTTATTGCAACAGTTTTGCAATAATTTTATATAGGGAACCAATCAAGCTTATTGGTCTAAAGTCACCAAAATTAATTGGGTCTTTAGATTTTGCAGCGAGCGATATGAATGAGTAATTACATCCTTTTGACAGTTTACCATTCCTTTCAAAATACTTTACCATCCATACAATATCATCCTTCAGCAATTCCCAATATTTTTTTACAAATTTGAACGTGAATCCGTCCGGCCCCGACGATTTGTCACTTCCACATGCCCAATATTCTTTATTTCATTTATTGTGAACTCCCCTTCCAAGAAATTTGTATCAAATTCAGATAACATACGAAAACCCGGGTTACAGAATTTTGGTCTATTTTTCCACCCTTCTTTGAATTTATTCCCAAAAAACCTTACAGCCTCCTTTTTATATCCATCGGATTAGTAACCCATGTTCCATTTTCCATTATCCCGTGTATATGGTTTTTTCGGTTCCTGTTATTGACGTAAGTGTGAAAAAACCGTGTGTTTCCGTCACCTTCCGCTTCCCATTTTAGTTTTGCTCTTTGTTTCAGATTCATAGTAACCATTCTCGCATGTTCATCTATCTTGACACCAATATTAGATCTTTCTTCCAATTCTTCTTCAGTGAGGAGCCTTGATTCCGCAATTAATTCGAGTTCAGCCTTCCTGTTCTTCCATGTTTCAATTTCATTGTTCTCCTTCCGTGCTGCATTGACTCTCCAATTTCTATCAAGAGAAAAAAAATACTAAAAGCACACCAATTATAATATTTAAAGCATTAAATACAAGATGCATTATTAAATACAAGATGCAAAAAAAGAGGTTCTCTAGAAAACATAGACTTTGGATATGGTAATAGAAGATTTTCATATTTACATCTTTTCCCGCAAGTAATTTTCATCTAAAAGTTTTCGTCCGTTATAATTTTAAAATTAAATTATTAATATTTTACAAGTTGTGAATTTGTTCCCTTACTATATTTTAAAGTTACGGTTTTATGTCCCTTACATAATTTATTTTTATAGTTTTCATTTTTTTAATTATTATAATTTTAATTAATTGCATTTGTGGTATTATAACAAGCAACATATATTTTCAAACTTTATTTGTCTCCGTCTCTTCTATACATAATTGTTTGGATCAAAACTTTATTTTTATATTTTGTGGTCCGTTTACAAAAGAGTTTTCCACCACAACATGCGTGATGACTTTATACTTGTATCCTATTCAATATCATCTTATAAAATAGATCAATTGTTTAAAAAATTAACACCACTACATTTATTTACGTTATGTTTGGAATACATATAAAGAAATAAAAGTTAGAAATGTATTTCTATTAAATTTATCTAATTGTTCGTTCAATATTCAAACAAATCATAAAACAAAACCGATAGTAAAAAAAACAAAAAAAACAAAAAAAAACGGGATCATTTAAAGACACAGTAACATAACCAAAATATATGAAAAGACATAGCCCAACTACATATATAACGTTTATATAGAGATGTCCAAAATAACATAATAAATACATAGTATTCATAATAAAATAAGCACACTAATAAATATATTATATTGTTTAATTAATAAAAAAAAATTGCTTATGATAAAGAAAAAAGAAAAAATGATTATATGAGAAGTGACGATGATAGAAATAAAAAGGGGGTTTATTTAAGATCACATATTTATTAAAATGACATTTTATGCAGCAAAACTATTTTCCAATTGAAATATTCAGCCAAGTTTCAGTTTCAACTTCACATGTTTAAAAATAATTTGCACAATACAATTTATATATACATAAAAGGTTAAAAAGTTGGGTAGCAGTACCTTTTTTTCTCTTTCCTAACTTCACACGCGACTTTTGTTTTTCTTATTTTCAACACCAATACTTCATACATTTTCTCCTTCTTATCTTATTTTGTTACCGCCTTCTTCTCTGCTTCGTTTTCCACGTCGCCGCCCTCCTCCTCCAATACTCATTCTTTCGCTTTTCCTTAGTTCCTCTTTATTTCTTCTTCACTCTTCCTTACGTCTCTCTCCCTCGAAACCCTTCAATTGCCTGGTCATAGTTTGGATCAGGTCGCCGACAGCGGCAACGCATGAGTAGAAGGAAATAGAGGTTATGGCTGACAGCAGGGCATACAATAGTATCCGATTGAGCGCCACCGTAACTGTCCACCTCTGTTTTTTCTGATTTCCTTTGTCAATGTTCCTTCTTGGTGGCTGATTCAGAACGAGTTGAAGGTAATGTTTTCTTCTACTTTCAGGGTATCGGCTATGGTGGTGGGGTTTCTTTGTCTTTCTTTCAGGAGGGCCGACGGTATATATTCTACACCGCCATCACCACTTCCCCTTTATGAGCTTTGTCTCAGGTTCGATTTTATGATTTAATCCTTTAGTTTTTATTTCGTTTGGTTGATTCTTAAGTTTTTATGGCCTTTGTTTGAATAATTGTCAAGTTTTTCTTTTGTTTAGTCAATTTTTAGGTTTTTATGACCTTTCCTTGATCGATTGTTACATCTTTTTATGCTTTACTTCTTCCAGGAAGGTATATATTCTACATGTCGGTTGAAAAAAATTGTTGTATAGAGGCTGTTAATATGCTAAAGGGAAGTGCACATGTAGTGTTTGTGGAAATGCCTAAGAGAAGGTAATATGTTTCTATTATCTGTTATAGATCAAATATGTTGCAGGTTTGTACATGTTTCTATTATCTGTCATCAATCATCAGTCATGTTATTTTTTTTCATATGAACAGGTTTCTAAATCTTCTTCAGAGCTGGAATTGGGTAGATTAAATCATTATTATAACAACTATATCAGATTCCCATGTCATCAATATACATGTCATCAACAATTCAAGATACATCTGCAAAAGATATATATATATATATATATATATATATATATATATATATATATATATATATATATATATATATATATAGAAAGTAACATTGACCCTGTTTAACATTGACCCTGTATTGAGTATAGGGGCTTATTTGGATGATAGAAGCTCCAAGAACCAACAAGGTTTATCAGATTCTCACAAACTTGATGGGAAAAGTCAACAAGAATCCAACTGACATACAAGGTATATTTTGTCAATATAGCTATTTTATAAGCAATTTATGATAAAATTATTTGTCTTTATGACTTTATGTTTGATGTTAGTGGGTGTTGCTGCTCGTGCATTACATCTATCAAGAGGAGTTGAGAAACCAAGTGGTAGGGTTACTTACATAGTTGTTCTTCAAGGATTGAGCAGATTTGGTGTTGAGGAGCTTAACACAATAGGAACTTACACCACTGCAAGAATTTCTCCTATTGATATGACAAAGGCTGGTATACCATCAAAACCACATTATTCCTTTTCAATTTCTATGTAGATTCACATTCACCATGTTTACTTTATGGATTTCATACTATTTGAATAAAGTGAAAAGTTTTGAGGAATTGATGCCACACTTGAGAAAATGGAAGAATCCCCTAAGTCAAACAGTTCATTCAATAAAAAAAAAACAACTTTGTCTATACAAAAGGGTAGAATGGTCATTTTTTCATATTCAGACAGTTTGAATTTTGGTCAAAAAAAAAAAAAGAAACAATCTTTGTTTATACAACAACATCGTTTATCCATTCATGCATGAAGATTGAAGAAGCATTATGCCAATGAGTTGAAGTTTTCATCATTGGTAATTGACTTAGTCAGCTATTGAATAAACGTGAAATGGAGTATAAAGATGTTAGATTATTTAGCTTTGAAGAACAGCTGTGTATGTTAGATTTTGTTGATGTAAAAGTAAGGCTTTCAAAAGCCACAGAATTAGTTGATAGACATTTAGAGGTAAAAAAAAACTTATAATTTTGAAAAACATTTAGAGGGTGTTTGGGTTGGCTTTTAAATTAACTTTTTATCTTTTTCTTTTTGAAAAAGTCAAAAAGTTTAATAAGATGTTTGGGAACTTTAAAAGTTCTTTTAGAATAGCTTTTGGCTAAGAAGGAAATACTCCTTTTCTAAAAGTCACGAAATGCTAACTTTTGGCGACTTTTGGGGTTTTAAAAGGTAAAAGGCTAAAAGTTATTCCAAACATATTTTTAAAACTTCTTTTGGCAAAAGTTAAAAGTCAATAAGGTCTTTTATGAAAAGGACTTTTAAAGAGAAAAAGCTCACCCAAACACCCCCTTAATTTGGAATGATGGAATCATGGAAGGAATGGAGTTTTTCATTCCATTCCATTGCGATGTTGTGATGAATTTCTTGAATTGCAGCTGAAACCGGATGCAAAAAGCCTGATATTATGCTTTGTGGGCTCGGCAGGTGTCGGGAAAACATCATTGCAAATGCTGCTGCTCTTGGGAGGAAGTTCATAAGAATATCTCTTGGTGGTGTAAAAGATGATGCTGACATTAAAGCCCATGGAAGGACATACATTGGAAGCATGTCGGGTCGACTCATTGATGGATTAAAGGTGAATTTTTTCAATTTTATTTTTTTACAAAAATAGGTTTGAAATTTTTACTTTTATGAGCTATATAACATTTCAGGTCAAATTAATGTAATATGTTTTGATTAATATTATACTATGTTCTACCATTTGGTACAGCTTGAAATAAGGAAAAAAAAAAAACAAACACAGCGCCAAAGTCGCAGCTAATTCCCCTCTAGTTAATATCAGTTGCATAAATTAATAAAAAAAATGAAGCCCATAAAACAATAAATATAGTATTTATACTAAACCAGTTATTCGTGGACTATCATATATTTAATTGAACATTATAATAAAAAAATGTCTTCGCATTCAACATGAATTGCTAGACATAAAATGCAAAAATTGACTTGTTTGAAGTCAGAAGCTGAAAGCAGAAATGTCACGACTCTCTCCATAGCTATGGTTATTCAACAAGGTTTCAATGTGATTGATTTCTTTTGGTAATGATCTTGTAAGAACCTGTTTAACAAAAACAACGTCATCAACACATAACAGAGTATACTGCGTTTGACATGTATTAAACTCGTTTGACATGTATTAAACTGCAAATTAAAAAACTTGGCTAAATTTTTATATATACACATATATTATATATATACTTATATACCTCGTAACCTGATTCGGTAATTAGGACTTCATCCTCGATCCTGATCCCAATGTCTTGGTATTTTAGTATTGGTAACCAGTTGTCTAAGTCAGTTGTGCTGACGTGTCAATGACACATCATTATTTTTCTTTTTATGCCACGTGCATTTAAGATTAGTAGTTTAGTTACCTTTGTGCACAGTCGAAGTTTGATGGGATGTAAATTCCAGGTTCAATTGTTATCACCTAAAAAAAGGAATTATGCAAGGTGGCTAAAACAATTTCGATTAAAAAAAATAGAAATTATAACAATATTTTTGGCATTTGAAGTTTGAAGATCTAAAAAGATGATGAGATTAGAAAAAGAACTTACAACACCTGGCTTTAAGGTACGTTCATACCCGATTTTAGAACAATCATGCACATCCATTCCCAGATAATGACCTGTATTATTTATAAAACAAACACAAAAAATTAAAGGTTTCTTTTTGAAATACAAATTATAAACTTAAAAAAAAATGACATATTACCTATACTAGTTGGATTCATTTGGTGATACCTTTGAAGCCTATCATTTTTCAAAATTCCCATTGCTTTCAATCCTCTACAAAGTTTCTCAACCTACACAACATCAAGTAATTATAAATCAAAAAACTCAACATATTATAATCATATATATTATATTATATTATATTATATTATATTATAATTTAATTATACCGAGTAGTTGTGTATATGTTGGATGCTCATACCAGGTTTGCAAAGTTGAATACATTCTTTGTTGGTCTCTACAACCAGATCACACACTTGTCTCTGAAATCATAACACATCATGAAATTAATTACAAAAATTATATAAATAATAGGATACATGAAATATATAAAATAACTACCTCATGAATATAGTCACATACAACAGAGGTCAGATAATCCTTCGAGTAAAAGATTCAACCCTAGAACGGTTGGACTCAGACGAGAGCTGCACAATAGGGTCAAATCCATCCCTCTTAGATTATTTAACATGTACTTTATGTGACTTAACATATTCACTTAGTAGTTGATCAACATCACTAGGAATCCCACAAAGCACAAAGAAAGAAGCATTCAGATAACAGTAAATCTAACCAGCATACACTAGACAAGTCAGTCTATCCACACATACAATCTGCAAGCAGGTAACACCTATCGCTAACCTCATCCTAGGCTTACCCTAGGATAGTCTCCTACCCATGAACTATCATAAAACATTTGGCCCACATACCACCACTCATGTTGTCCACATCCATCCATCCTCGTTGTCGGCTGCCTTATGCATGCAAATTATAACACAGAACAGGATCTAATAAACTGTCGAATAATAGACTCTACCCTAAGACCACAGAAAATAAGGCCAAATCAGCTATTCTAAGGCTATAAGATCCTAATCGTATACAATTTTCAAAACATACACTTAGCAGTTACCATTACCAATAGTCATTCTCATTACAGCATAGCATACAGTATCTCCAAAGCTACATGCATCACATATCAGGCCAATCTATCGCTCACTACTCAGCACTAGCATGTAAGTCTACCAGCTCATACAACATATAAAGGCATCTTTCCTAGCCCTAAGTAGCATGCGATTCTCAGATCCATAAATCAAGTCATAACAGATAACATATATGGGTATTCTGGGAAACTTACTTGAGCTCGGCTGATTGCATGCATCACATCCTTTCTTTTCTTAGAAAACTTTTCCTTGAAAACATTTTTTAAAAACTTTACAGATCCTTAGTTTGAGTTCAGACACACCCAAAAATATATCTGAATCCCTCAAACCAAGGCTCTGATACCAACTTGTAACGACCCAAAAATCAAGGGTAAAAATTTCATTTTTAATATAGCTAAAACATTGATACCATTTATTTCAAACATTTCAAATCATCATTAAGTAAAACATTTATTTATCAGAGTTCATCCAAAAATCATTCATTGCGGAAATTATAGGTGTGTGCACTGCGATCAATCCGAGCTCTTCTTTTCCAAATCGATGATACCTGAAAGCAAAACTGTATACCCCACACAAACCACATAACCACATAATCCATATCAGCTATAACAGCTATATAAACCATATCAATCACATGTCCATATCAATCACATAGCCATGCATATAAACATATACGGATGTCATGGGCTCCCCCAAGGTCTTACTCCAGGATGTCATGGGCTCCCCACATGGTCTTACACCTAGTTGTCATGGGCTTCCCCCATGGTCTTTAATAGGAAAGTCATGGGCTCTCCATATGGTCTTACATCCAAGTGTCATGGGCTCCCCCATGGTATTTAATAGGCAAGCCATGGGCTCTCTGCATGGTCTTACATCCGGGTGCCATGGGCTCCCCTCATGGTCTTCCATGCAAGTATCACAAAGACAACTAGCATAACACATACCACATAGTCAATAAAATACCACATAATCACTAGCATACCACTTAGCATAAAGCTAACTATCATACAACATATCTCTACTACAACTAGTGTACCACATATCATAAATGGGTTGGCCTTGGTGCCTTAGACCCATTGGTATGGTGAGAAGACTCACCTCGCACTGCAGAAGCTTCCCGCATGAATTCCTTAGTTGCTGCCCCGCCAGCTTCCCGAGCTGTCACTATCAATCAATATACCCAATTAGCAATTGGGTCCCATACCATAATCCTTAATCCATGCATGGGGTAAAATGACCATTCTACCCCTGACCCAGTATGATCCAAAACTAAGGCCCAATCCCAAAACAAAAGCCCGACACTATAATATCCATAAGTCCTTTAATGGCCTAATTTATAAATTGGGCTCAAACCCAATAGTCTACAACTAAATATCAACCCCAAAACCTGATGGCCCAACAGGGCCCAAAACATAATGTCCAAAACCATAAAATCCATAAAGGCCCATGAATGGAAAATTGGGCCCACACTCCTTATTGGGCCTTAACCTAAGATCCAATCCTTCCATTAGTCCAGAACACAACCACTTTGATGGTCCATTAGGGCCCAAGAATCTAGGCCCAAACAGATAGTCCCAACCCAAAGCCCAAAGTCTGAAACCCAACTTGGATGAGTACACAGGGCGTACTCATCAGTACGTTGCGCGTACTCGCATAATGGCTTGTACGCTGCGTGTACTAGCTTGTACGCCCAACGTATTACCCTCCAGTCTCACTTCTGCCATTAAGCACTTAATGCTTTAAGTCATAAGTCCAAACCACAGATCTGAGTCCCACATAATGTCTAAACCCATGAAGTCACTGACTTGGTGACTTTGGATGCCCCCAATAAGACCAAATAGCATTCTAATTTCATGGAAATGGCTCAAACTCCAACATAGATGGTATTAAACTCTAAAGGTGCCAACTTTATGGACCTTGAACCTCAGAAACACTAAGAGGGGCAACTCAAAGCTCCTGGAATGAAATCAAGACCACTAGATCTCATACTTGGGACCAAAATGAACAAAAACTCACAAATGGTAGATCTAAGAGATGAATGATCAAGTTCAAAGCTTTATACCTTCATCAAGTTGAGAATGAGTCCCAAAAGCCAGATCCATAAGCTCCTCCTTGATTCCCATCTTTGCAACAAGTTCCATCTTCTTGAAAATGGTCCAAACATCCCAAAAATGGACTCCATAAGTTCAAAATGTCACCATGAATGATATATGAAGATTTCTAAGGTTTTAGAGGGTGGAGGCTGAAGATATTAGGGCTAGTTTATGAGATAAGGAGCTTAAATAGGGTCTGAGACCCTAAAATAGGGTTCTGACCTGACTGCATACGCCCAACGTAATTATGGTACGCCCAACGTACTCCGGGGAACATTCGCGACCATCCTGGTCAGTACGCCCAGCGTACTCCAAGGTACGCCCCACGCACTACCTTCTTCACTAGTATGACCCGCGTACTCTTTGTGTACGCCCCGTGTACTCGGCTAAGCCTGAAAACCATGAAACTTCCGAAGGCCATAACTTCTTTGTTATAAGCCCGATTCTGACGATCCTTATATCCACGGAAAGGTAACGAGAAGCCCTACACTTCTAACAACTCAAACCTTTCTTAAGACCTTCCGAAAAAATCCATTTTCCACAAAAGCCCGAACTGACACTTTACCGAAATACCCCTACGCTCCAAAATACGAACTGAACACCCGTATCACTTCTAATGCATCACCCGCACCTAAATGATCCTAGATCTTACCTTTTCAAAAGCCCTAATCCTTATGATGGCAAATCTTTGGGCCATAGCCTCAGACTAGGAATCGATTCGGAACAGGATGTTACAAGTTTGGGATCACTTGGATATACTGTATAATCAGACTAATTTTGCAAAACATTATCAGCTGGAACAAACATTAAATCTTTTCAAATGGGTGAGTTTCAAAATAGTGTCTTAATTTAGTTAAAGCATAGACAAGAGATACGATTAGCTTTTCAAGATGTGAGTACTATTGGGTTTTATTTAAAAATTGTTTCAAAAACATAAACAATGCAACAGAAGACTTAAGATTTGAACAAAAATAAAACTTGTTTTATTCCCACGAT